CACTGACACCTGGTCATGTTTATCTATTTATAGAAATGGGCAAATCGCAGTCACATGGTGTTTTATCCACACCACCACCTTTCAAATGGGGCTTTAAATTTCTAAAACATGTTTCACAATTATTTATTCAAAAACTTTTTGATTTATACACTAGAAATAATTAAAAATGTCTTAAATTAAGTGTATTTACCCTTGATTTGAGTAGGTAAATGTGATAGTTCGCCAATGGAATGAGTATTTTTTACTCTTAAAACAAGAAAATGTGATAATATGCACTTAAAATAAGACAATGCAATTGTGTTTTGTTATTTTTAATTTAAATTGGCTTGTTCCATTGCCAAAATGTCTCTTTTACCTCCTCAATCCATGACAAATGGACTTATTAAAAAAAATAATAATAATTTGATCTAGATTTCAATTTTTTTCTGTGTGACCGTGTAAACAAATAAATGAGATTTAAAATTCCGCCTGACATGTTTGCCTCTGCAGGAGTAATGCAACAGCAGGTATTAATTTTTTTAGCCCCGCCTCCTAATGGCCAGCATCATTGGACACTAGAGGCTAGGACCTTTTTAAGGAGGAGTCAGAGGTCATTGTGCGAACATTTCAGGTCATGTAACCAGAATGTGTTACATAAGCTAGATCTCTTATTCTATTTCTATTCAGTATGGTGATATTATTGATAAATTTCAATTAAAAAAAGACGCCTAAATCTTAGGAGCAAAGGCTTTGCCTTATACAGAAACTGTACAATAATGTAAACCAGACTACCGCTTATGAGTGAACAAATACATTTTTGCACTTTTGGCATTGTGCCAAAATCCCACTTCCGCCTAGCACACTGCCTACTAAAACCTCTGTGGAACAAACATGCTTCAACTTATTCAGTCCAAATTTGCTTGACTTATATTCAGGACGTGGATCTATGAAGTCTAAAGGTTCATCCAGAGTTTCAAATGGGGTTTCATGGTGATTTGCAGCATTTATTTTGGAAAAAAACCCAGACAAGGCTAAGTACTTTTCATTTTTTCTTTGTTTAATCACCTATAAATCAGACATGGTGACGTTTAAAATAGTGGTTCCACCTGAAAAAAAATTCTCAATGCCTTTCTATCACACAGATACAAACCATTGTATTTCCAATTTATAGTTTGTGAGCTGTACTTTCTTTAATTCACATATGTAATTTCAGGTGGAATTTGCTCCTAAGACCCTGAGCAGTTCCCTGCTTCTTAAACACTAAACTTTAGGATAAAACAATCCATAATTGTTATGTTCTCTTCCTGTCTGTCGGAGATCATTCTCAACGCATCAGGGAATAACTCAGAGCTTAAAGCCGTTTGTCAGGAATGTCATCAAACTCGCTACAGAACTTTAGATTAATCTCTGGTTTTACGACGAAGTGACTCTCTGACATCCAGTGTGAGAATTGTTTATGTGGATTAACCACTGGGCCATAACCCTACCCTTAAACATTAACCAAATGTAAGGGCACCAATATACACTCCTTCTCTATATACTTTGTTTTTGAAACTTTTCTCCTTTGCCAATCGTGCAAATCCCGCAGACACACACATTACCCGCCTTTTTGTTGCATTTGAGGTCTAAGCAGCTTTCAATTCCAAATAACCTGGTCTGCTCTGAAAATTATACAATTATCATAAATCTCCCTTCAGAAGATGGCTCTGCATTAACCAAAGCTGCCATCGCCACCATGAATCACTGTGTTTGTAGGTGCATTTCTTTCCTGAGAGGCAGGATGGTTTCTCTCCTCACAGGTTAGAGTCTGGGAGTTTTAAGGAAAAGTCCGGTCATATTCAGAATTCAAACTTCTGAAAGTACTTTAAATATGAAATTATTACATACTGTTAAATAAATGATAAGTGTTTTTAATTAACAGTAATTTTCATTTGAATGTGCTTTACTGGAGGCATCCATGTTTGTCAAAGAACACTACTGCCACCTACTGGTTTGTGACGTCACGGTGCGGTATCGGCTGTTGATCAAGTCCCAGTGCTGTATCTGGTGTTTGTCACAACACGCTATTATCCAAGTCATTCTTCCAAATGTTGGCTACATATTAAGTGTTTTTTCTCTGGCCAGAAGTTCGATGGTAAATCCTCTCTCTTCAATGCATGTGGGCATTGATAGTTTTATTATAGCTCTCTGGTGAATTTCAATGGTGAAGTCCTCTGGAAATCTTCAATAATTGTTGTTGATTGCAGATGTGTCTAGTAGTTCCCATTAGTAGTCCACACCGTGACGTCACTTCTGGAAGATGGCAGGAGTGAGGCGTTACTATATATGGGCAAAAATGGCCGGTCCCGGACTCGAAAATAAAATTATTGTTTTGTAATTTTTTTTTCTAATTAACGCCATATTCAATAAATCACCGCGAACGTATTCGTTTTAGGTATAAATAATGATCCATTGATTATTCTTTGCTGACCCGACTTTTCATTTAAGTTTGGCTCCTTTGGCCATAAAACATTCTTATGTTAGATTTTAGAAGATTTCCATTTGGACAAAAACTAGAGTAGTGTAGGAAAACAATAAGTTTGATTGCTTGAGAAATGATGTAGCCCCTAAACCATGGAAAAGCTGTACCAGTGTTTTTCCTTGTCAGTTTTCCTTTAATCTTTGCTTATTTGAAACACTTGAGCAAAAAGACAAGTAAAATACAACTTCATCAGCAACATCCCTTATAGCTCAATTAGTGGCATATCAGCTGCAGTAGCATGTGCAATTATTTTTCTTACTATGTTCCAACCGTATAAGTATCTGATGATCTGCTATATGCAATATGTGGATGCACCATAACTTTCTCCAATTGAATAAAAACAAAACGAGGTCTTAGACTTCTGACCAAATGAGGAGAGATCCAGAGTTAGCTCAGAACTGCAGCTCATATGTTGTTGTGATATGTTACCTTTAGATTAGGAATATATATATAACTAACTAAAACTGGATTTGTAGTTAATAGATAAATCATTCAAAATTGAGGGTAAAATCAATTTAATGTTCTTGGTTGAATAGTTATAACTATAACTTGTTTAGTCACCAGGATTTCAGGTCAGGGTTGCTTCTAGACCGGCTGTTAAAACTCAAAAATGCAAAGAAAGACCTGACTTAACTGCAGCGCTCCTCTGCAAGGAAAATGCAGGGTAGCTGGTGCAGAGCTGGTTAACCAGGCAGAACGGGTTTTACAGGGTGATACACTGCTCTCAGTAGCTTTGACGGCAGAACAAAAGGGGGGAGAGCTGCGATCAGCTAGCTTCCAGGAAAAATCCCATGTGGAAATTGTGTCTTCTAACCGGCATGGTGCCCAGGAAAAAGAAAGAGTGAGCAGTTCCCGCTCCTTGCTTGAATGACGGTGGGGGTCAGTCCTGATGCATCACAGCTTTGCCTTCTGTTGACTGGTCTCACAGAAGTGATGTCTCTAGGGGAAGCAGAATTTTCCGGAAAGTGGGGGGCCATTGTCTGAGCCACAACGGGGGGGGGGGGTTTGGTGTAATCCACTGTTATCAATTTTTGCAAACAATTATAAACAAATAATTCTTGTCCCCTGCTTACGCAGAGTTTGTAATCATTTCAGGAAACAAAAGACTTTTGACTTTTAAAAGCACTTTATTGACAAAATCAAACAGTATAATCAATCATTAATGTAAAAACAAGTGTGAGCTAAAAATAACTATTTATTTCAAAACAGGTGTCAGCTAAAATCAGTTAAATGAGGAGCTTGTTATATTGCATTTCTCCAAAGTAAATAACATATTTTCAAACCCAAGAACTGTATGGAATTCTCTATGTTCTGTGTGGCTCTGTGGAAGTGAAACAAAAGAAGAAAAAGAAAGAACAGAAAAAAGGGAAATTAAAAGTAGAACAAAAGAAGATTTCCATAAGAAAGAATTAAAAAAAGAAAAAAATATATATCAGAATAACCTGCAGTTAAATAGAAATACAGGGTTGCCACCTGGACTCAGTGCAGGAGGTGGGAATCAAAAGGATCCTAACTAAATGAACATCTCGGTTAGATAAACTCTCACACCCCATGCATGAAGCTGGTGCTGAACTGGACAGCTCCTTCAGTGACAGTGTGCTGCACCCTCAATCCACCAGGGAGCGTTATCACAGATCCTCCCAGCAGCTGGAAGACTTTATAACCATCCCTGTTCCCAACAACCTCCATAAGTTGTTACATTCATGCTAATTTAGCAAAGTTTCTATCTTAGTCAGTTAAATAACATGCTGCTGTCATTTTGTTAATCTCTGATGTTGCTGCTACTTTCAAATACCCATTACTGTAAAAAATGTCCATAGCTAGATATTGGTTATTTATTCTCCAGGTGCACAGTTTCACATTGTTAAAACACTTAACAGTACAGTATTTTATTGTTTATCCTTTAACTTTCCACTATTATATTATTCTTTTCCATTTTTCGATGGTCCATATTTATGTAATAATTTTTCTATAATCTTTTTGGTGCTGTAAACACCAGAATGTCCCCATTATGGAACAATAAAAGGATTTCCTATTCTATTCTATTCTATTCTATTCTATTCTATTCTATTCTATTCTATTCTATTCTATCCACATTTACCTACAACATAATTGCATACCAGGTGGATTTTAGATATACTTCTTTTCTTTGTGTTTGTGCATTGACTTCTGGGTTTGGCATTTTTTATCTCCACATAAAACCAACATTTCCCTCATTAATTAAAAAAAACGAAACAAATAAAGAATCTTTCTCCTTTAATCAGGCAGAAGTGACAGACCTGGTAGATCGTTGTTCACGTCTCTCTTTCATTACTCCAAAGCGCCATACCTTATCAGAGCTTCCATAAATATCAGCTTATAAACTGTTTGTATTGGTTCATATTCAGCCTCTATGGTAACGTGGATCCTACTCTAACAGTTTGCTGGCTGTTGGAATATTTGTTTGTTTTGTGGTGCTGAGAAAGCTCACCGCTGCTTTTCTTTCCCTTTGTTTCCCCAGATTCCTAGTGACACCTGCTGTGTCCTTCCAAAACAAACCAATCAGCTACAGCCTCCTGATCAATCCCAGCAGCCTCTTCACCATCTCAGCAGAGACGGGTGAAATCAGCCTGACCCGCAGTATCGATTATGAGAGTGACCAACATCGTTACTTGCTCCTGGTGCGGGCCAGCGAGGGCCAGAACAGCATGAGCAGCGCAGCAGAGGTTCGTCTGACATGTCAGTTCAAAGTCACGCTTCCATTATTACATGGATTGACCACTTGGTCTACAAATGGACCAACTATCTGACACTGAGATGGAGTCATCAGTCTTTCAGAAGGTTTGAGTGTGAAGCTGGGTTTAGTATTTCTACTCCTTCTACATCTTATAGGCAGCAGATGAATGATGATCAGAGGCATAAAGGCAGCAACTTAATCAGCCTTTTATCATCTTGAGACATTTCTTGGATTAAAGAACTATGGTCCAAGCAGGAGCTCGATAGATAGATAGATAGATAGATAGATAGATAGATAGATAGATAGATAGATAGATAGATAGATAGATAGATAGATAGATAGATAGATAGATAGATAGATAGATATAGATAGATAGATATAGATAGATAGATAGATAGATAGATAGATAGATAGATAGATAGATAGATAGATAGATGTTGCAGTATCTATAACAACCGATACACACAGGATCATCACCAATTATTAATTTCATAGATCACTCACCATAGATAGATAGATAGATAGATCTAAAAAACTCATTTGTGCATTTTTCTTTAGTAAAATTAATTACTGCAACAGTGTATTCATAGCTTTGAATTTTAACCTAAAAAGTCCATCAGAAAGCTGTAGTTGATCCAAAACGATCCATGTTCTCACTAGATCTAACACATTAGAGCACATCAGCCGGCTTCTAAAGTCCTTCCACTGGCTCCCTGTAGCTCAGACAATAGGCTTTAAAATACTTCTGTTAGTCTAGAAATCACTGAATAGATCCATAACAGATCTGTTGTCAGTGGATCAATCTCCCAGACCACTGAGGTCTTCTAGTTCCAGCCTACTCTGTCGGCCAGGATCTAAAACCAAACATGGAGAAGCAGCATATAGTTCCTATGCTCCACTGATCTGGAACAAACTCCCAGGAGACTGGAAAAGAGCTGAAAGCCTGAGTTCTTTGAAGCAAGAGGGTTAAAAATCCACTGACTGTTAAAGTTAAACTTTAACAGTGGCTGGTTTAAGGTTGTGATCCAACTGTTTGTCCCTTTAGGAGACTAGTGGAGCACAAGGCTCATTTTGGGTGAGAAAGACATGCTTTTATGAAGGCAATCATGCTCTTATGCTGGATTGAGGGTGACCCTATAAGCTCATCCAGGATTCACAAAGTGGCTCCTCTGCTCAACTGGGCTGAAAACTCGAATCTCCAATCCTCCTAATTTACACTCTGCTTCACAATGAGCTAGAATAGCCAGTGATCATTGATTAATCCATAGAGAGAAGCTCCATTTGTCACTTATTTTGGTGCATGTAATATTGAACTGTGATCATTATATGAAGCCCAGTCAATTGTCCAAAGCTTTTGCTAATTTGTTTAGATAGCAAGGATTTAAGCCTGGTTTATGCTCAGAAACCAGGCCGCTCCATGTGTGTTGCAGTTAAAACTGATATGCACCCTTATACGTTTAAGCATGTTTAATCTTAAATGCGCTTAAAAACACTTAAAAATACTTAAACATGAAATTCTGTTATTACAAGATAGAGGGCAGGTTTGCCTCATTTGCTGTCAGGGATTTCCCACTTCTCATAGTGGCTGAGAGTGAATACTAAGAGTTTTATAAGTTTGCGTTAAAAACAGCAAGTACTCCAATATAAAATGAAATACTTTTGACTGGCAGGTTTCAAATTTTTGAATGTATGTATTAATAAACTGCTCATCAGAGCTCAGTAAGAAAATTAGTATAAATGATCAGAGCTCACTATCTTTTCTTTGTACAAAACAATCGATTCTTCCATGCTTTTTTTACAACCTGTGAAGTTCAGCCCCTTTATGTTAATTTATTTTTCCCAAGCTGTTAGCCAAATGAGCTGCCCGGAGTGTCCCCGATACAGCAACCCCACCAAGCAGGCAGGAATCCGATCCATGGAACAGAGAAACAACAAGCATCAAATAAACAGCAAACACAGTCAATTATCTAGCCCCGATAGCTGGGCTGGGCCGAAAAAAAATGAAGAGACACAGGTGGATAAGATGAGCAATGATTAAGAACCAGGCATAGTTAGGCAGGTGGATGAATTGAACAAATAAGGTCAGCTATCAGGGAAGATCATGACAAATGTAGTGTATTGGATGTAGTGTCAATCTCCCAGAAGTCTCCTGGTTCAGCTTTTCTGACTGGTTTATTCTGTGCATCAAGCTTCAAAAGTTCAGATTTGAATGGTGTGGAATGCTTGCATGCGACAATGCTCTGACGACCACATGCTCCGATGCTCAGATGCTCCAACGCCCAGACACTCGGAGGCTGAGACATGCCGCAGGACCTCTGGGCGTTGCTTGACACCATCCCCTATTGACTTTTCATGTATAGGAGAAGCTTTGACACTCAGAACGCATTGGGTGTGAACGCTGCACAGGCTATCTAATGCTCTCTCTGATAAGTAAAGGCTTTATTTGCTGCTGTTTGCAGGCGAGCAGAGCTGTCTGCATTGTAGTACATTAAGGATCAGGGTACATAGCACCGGGTCCCATTTAAAATGAAAAGCTACTTGAACACTGGGAAGCTTGATGAGCCCAGGTTCTGATAGCCTTCAGCTCATTTTGGGCTTTGGAAGTTGATTATGTAGTGTTCCTCCTTAAAGGTGAATTTCATTAACAAATGTGAGCTGATTTGAGCTGCTTGCCTTGAAGCAGAACTGTATCCAGTGAAATACACATCAAATGTTGCAGTGTGAAAATAATAGTTTAAGAGTACATTTGGTCCCACACTAAGTCAGAGTGGGACCAAATGTACTCTTAAAGTGTTATATTAACACTGCAAAATTTATTGGAGCAAATCCAGCCAAGAGAAACAGAAAACAGAAGTAAACTTTTCTCGACAAGCAGAATGGAGGATATCAGTTTATTTTTGCTGGTATCCTATCTTAGGGTTTATATTAGAGTCTTTATAAATAAAAGTGAAAACTGTTCTAACACAAGATCAGCTTCAAATAATGTCAAATGTTAGCCTTTAGCGGAAAGAAGCGGCGGTATTCAGTGGAAGTTAGTTTCCTTGTTTGACAGTTTCTGTTTTTGTTTTTACGTCATATAAGAAAAGAATAACAGAATCATTTTTCTGTCAGACATCACTTTCAGTGTAAAATGTTGAAAATAACCACGGGTCCATTTTGAAAAGTGTAAACCGTTTGATCAGTGAAGCCCTAACAGATTTGTCTGACTGGGAATGACAGCTGTGGGACTCCCAGTGACTTCCTCATGTTGTCAGGATGTAAGGCACAACAGAGGCTGAGAGCTGCAGGCGCTGAGGCATCTGGTCTGGTTTCCATCATTACTCAGGCCTCGGGCTAAAACATGTCCTGCTGAACCGATCCGTCCTCAGCTGCTCCACTCCCGGTCTCTGTGGCCAACAAAGATCCAGACGTCTATGGGGAGGCAGAGTGGGGGAGGCAAAATGGTAGATTAGGAAAAAAGAAGAGTCAGAAAGGGAACCTGAGGTAGAGTGTCTGTCAGGTGTTGCTGTCAAACATCCTAACTCAGTTTATTCATCAAGTTTCTCTGGCTTTCTCCAAAACTCAGCTACTCTGAGGAATACAGATTACTACACTACAGGGTTACTACAACTTGAACTCTGTTTATGGCCCAGGCTAACATTAGGGTGACTGTTAATTAGTTAGTTTGGATCTGATATATTAATTATCTAATTGGTCTATATTCAGTACATTTCTCCAGCCAACAGTAGTCACATTATAAAGAGTATTGATTGAATGAAGCTCACACAACTGATATAAATGAAGGGATTTAAAGCAGCCTTAGAGGTGTGCTACTGTGATGGAGAGTTTTCTACAGTAGCCTAAAGATGGTTTCAATAAATTTAATTGATTCTTTTCAATAAAGCAACAACAGAGTTTGATCAAATTCCAGCTTTTCTGGAGTGTTCTAATTAAAAAAGACAAAAAAAATTAAACACTTCCTGAATATTGGGCCAATCTTCAGCGTTATCTGTTAAGTTATTTTTTTTTTTTTTTTTTTTTTTTTATCTGTTAAGTTATATTTAACTTTAATGATTGACTCCTTAGCTCCCAAAGCCCAGCCCTGGGACGTTCTGAGGACACAGTTTGTCATCGAAAGTCTATTTTTAAACAAAACCCAACATTTTTAGAATCAGGCGATGCTAAAGAAAACAACCATCAACTCATTGTAAGCCAACAATCCTTTATAAATACCAATAACTAGAATCTGTCATCAAATTTGAACTCAGAATATTCAATTATTACCTTGTTTTCATCTTCTGACGATCCACAACATATTTGACCGTGGCATAAATAACCAATTAATGGGTATGCAATTCGTTTATGCACAAGCTATAAACAGATGGGAGCTAACGGGTTAACGCTACTGCTGCACCAATGCCATTTTTTCCCCCAATACCGATACCCGATACCTGGCTGTGCAGTATTGGCCAATACTGATACCATACCGATACCATCTGTGTGAAATTGATGACTAACACAAGGTGAATCCAGTAGAACTTTTTATTGCCTACCTGTAAGTGACAATAGATGAATAAACTTTTGATACCACCAACCGGGGCCCTGTCCGATACCGGTATCAGTATTGGTGCAAAACTAGTTAAAGCTATTTTCTCTCACATCCACATAATAACACATATGGACCAGTGAACACAAAGTGCTTAAAACACTAAAAATAGGGGAGTGCAGGTGGTGCAGGGGTTAGTGCGCATGAGCCATGTACGGAGGCCTTAGTCCTCAATGCGGCCAACCCGGGTTCGAATACAATCTGTGGACCTTTGCCGCATGTCTCTCCCCTTCTCATACCCCCTTTCCTGTCAGCCAACTGTTGAAAAAACTAGACTAGTGCTGTTAAAAAAAAAAAAAAAACAGCACAACCTCGCTGTCTTGTTCAGGAACAATGTGGGGTTTATTAGGGCCCTGTCACTCCTTGCCAATTGTTGTCAGGGTGTGACAGAGGCTTTATATAGA